TATATATATTTCCTTATTTCATCTTTGTCTCACTTAACTGTGAGGCATTATGTATTTTTTAACAACTTTTCTTAACTGTTGTAACTTTTCTCCCATATTCTTGCTAAAGTTTTGTCTAACTTTTAGCTTGGTCTCATTTAACTTAAAGTTTTTTTGTCCTTGTAATTTCTAGGCATACATTTGTTTTCCTTTAGCTGATTTTTTTTCTTCTAAATAGTTGAGTGTAGCCTTTAAACTCTTTCTTTAATACACAACTGAAATGTTTGTTAAAGGTTAGCTATTTCTGAGTCATACTTTTTCCTGCGTCTTCTGGCTGAAATATAAATGTTACCAAAAAGGTTTTTGCAGCAAAAGAAGAATTTTTTTATATATATATCTGAACAATCCCGTGTACACTCTTGTCTCTGCTTGTTTCTTCTCCCAGTTTTCAACAACCAGAGTAAAGCAGGGACCAGGGAGAGTCCAAGGCCCAAAGCAGGAACTCACGGCAGGGATACCACTCCACTACTGCCACCTCCTCCACCTCCACCTCCGCCCCTCCTAAGGGAGCGCAGTGAGCGGGCGGAGGCACGGGAACATGCCAGAGAGATGCAGGCCTTGGCCAACAGTCGAGGCTCCGCCAACGGGCTGCCACTGAGGAGAGCTGAGGAGCTGCGCAAGCAGGTACTGTACATAACGGGCAGAAATGTTCTTAGAAAGTACCAGACCTTCACTGAATTATCAGGTGGAAAGGGATTACTTAATAACTTTCCCTAACTGCAGTACCTGTGTACCTTTCTGCTCTCTCTCACATACTCTGATTTTATTGCTCATTTCCTCTATGCCTTGCATCGACACACCCTCCCTCTAGGTCTAACTCATTTTGATATCCTCTATTATTATTTTTTTTTTACCTTCTCTCCTCTCCTCTCCTTTCCTCTTGTCTCCTCTCCTCCGCCGTGTCTGGGAGAGAGAGAGTAATGATTGTGTTTTGTCCTGTCGAGACTGCAGCTATATTTAGTAGTGCTGGCTAGGGGCTGTAAAAGCCTGCCTGCCTCTCTGGCACTTAGCGGGTTTCAAGGAGCCCCACACAGTGAAAGGAGAGGAGGAGAGGAAGGAAGAAGAGCGGAGGTGGCTTCAGTTTGGCCCCACTATCATCACATTAGCTAAACAGAGGCAATCGTCTGCTGTTTATTTTTGCACACCGTTTCTGCTGTATTTTCCATTTCCTGTTATTGTTCCTCTAGTTGTTTCTGCTGCCGTTTTTGTTGTTGTGCTAAATGGATTCTGCTCACGCCCTGGTATATGTGTGTGTGTGTGTGAGTGAGAGAGAGAGAGTGTGTATTTTGGGGGGTTCTAAAGTGGCTGGGATTGTCCAGAAAAACCAACATTGAATGTGGATGAGATTGAGCGTCTGCCAAAACAAACTCAAAGTTCAGCCTCACTTACCCACAAGTCTTTGTTCTCTAACTCTTCCACTCCACTCACTCGTTCTTATCTCAGTGTTGGCACCCTGACTGAGTCTTTCTGACTCCTCACACTGTATATTTGTTTTCTCCTACTGCACTGTTATCCCACTTCTCTCCATTTCCATCTTCAGCTTCCTCCGTCTCCTCATCACTCCTTTTCTCTTCATGCTTGGCTCCCCTCACCACCATCCTTCTCCGTCTCTCTCTCTCTCTCTCTCTCCCCCCATGTCAAACTGCCAGTTCAGCCCTTGACGACACAACTCCAATCTTTTGGATGGATTATTCCCTTCTCCCTCTCTTTAATGAACACAAACAGTATGTGTGTCTTTTAACCACGTTACATCTAAGAGTTCAGTGATGATGTAGCAGTGAAACTGTCTCTCTACTGCGGGGCCTGTGTAAAAGACTGAAGGGTAAAAGGCATCACCATAATTCAATCCACCTTCATTCACTTCTTCCTAATTCAATAGGGTCGTGTATCAACAGAACTCGTGCACCGCCGCCGCACCTTTGGAAGACAGAAACAACAATATGATGTTTCTGGTTTTAAATAAATAAGACAAGTGGCGATGTCATCGGCCGTGAGTACAGGTGAAGTGTGCAAGGCCAAACCAGGAGGCTGGATTTGTTTCATTACTGAAAAGGAGAAAAACTGCATTTCAGACTTTTCAGACGCTACTTCTTCAGCCTCAGGCGTTCTTAATTAACCTCTGCGTCTCTGAAAACGTATTCAGTTGCCAAAAATTTGAATATTGGCCACAACTCCTTTGCAGGATTTTTTTAAAGAGCCTTTTCCATGTGTGCTGCTATTACTGCTCCTTCAGAGTGACCTTTTTCTAGCTGTTTAAAAGTCAACCTGCCCAGGGCAACTATCACATCAGGCCCTAAC